CATTTTGTGATCACTTATATCTTCCTCTAAAAATCGATTTTTTGGTCAAAAACTTAAGAAAACTAAAATCGCTTATAACTTCGTTAAAACACGTTTAAATTGAAAAATGACTTCATTTTGTGATTACTTATATCTTCCTCTAAAAATCGATTTTATGATCAAAAACGTAAGAAAACTAAAATCGAGTATAACTTGGTTAAAACACGTTTAAATTAAAAATGGACTTTATGTTGTGATCACTTATATCTTCCATTAAAAATCGATTTATTTATCAAAAACCTAAGAAAACTAAAATCGCTTCTAACTTCGTTAAAACACGTTTAAATTGAAAAAGGACTTCATTTTGTGATCACTTATGTATTCCATTAAAAATCGATTTTTTGGTCAAAAACCTAAGAAAACTAAAATCACTTATAACTTTGTTAAAACACGTTTAAATTGAAAAAGGACCTCATTTTGTGATCACTTATATATTTCATCTTAAATCGATCTTTTGGTCAAAAATCCTCTCAAAAAGTCAAAAAGTACCGAGTTACGGTATTCGAAGCGCACATTGACCATATGCAATAGTGTTTACTTAACCTAAGTTTTAATTTGGATTATGGTGGAGAACCAAAAAAACTCAATTTTATTAAAAATTTGCTAGTAATACTAGCTGTACTTATAGTGACGTTATGTTTTTACAACAGGCCAAATAAATCTTAACTGGAACACAGTTAAGTAACTTCAAAGTCAAACAAACAAACATAAATAGCGTTCTACCCGAACACATGTCTAATAGAATTATTGAAGATTCGAATATAGCGCATATCTGTCAGATGTTTACCTTTCTCTCGAAAGTGAAGGGTCTAAAAATCAAATTCACGTAACAAAAACACATAATTGCAACAAAAATCATAAAAACCATTATAATGACAAAATGTAACAACAACATCAAATCCATGATGTCACAATAACAAAATAAACGCCAACACCAAAAAACTCAATAAGTGAAAAAGCATCAACTACCCTCAAAACAAAATGCAAAAAAAGTGACGTCACTATAATAAAACAAACAAGTAAGAAATTATAGTCGGGCGTGGCCGACCATATGATACCCTACACCAGTTATGAATATTAAATGTGATTTATTTTTCATAATAAAGCATTTATCTTCAATATTCCCTTGTTCCGATACATTTAAGCAATTTATGGATGAAAAACTAATTTTCTGAAAGAGGCTTTATATGGGGGCTAGGGGCAAATATGGACCAAGCCCGATAAAATTTTGTGAATATATTTATATTTACATAATATTTTATTGTGCTGAATTTCATAGCGATATTTGTGTTTGTAAGCTAATTTGGGACATTCAAGTAATTTTCTGAAGGGGACTTTGTATGGGAGCTAGGGCCCGATCTTTATGAAATTTGGCAGGGTCATCAAGAGTTCTATAAAACTTAGTTGTGCCTTATTTTATCGATATATCTGTATATTTAACATAATTATGAGCTCAGAAGCCCTTTTCGGGGGGTTCTGTTGTATGGGGGCTAGGTGAAATAATGGACCGATTTTAACCATTTTCAATAGGCTTCGTCCTTAGGTCAAATAAAACGTGCGTGCCAAATTTCATCCAATTATCTTGAAAATTGCGACCTGTACCTTGCGCACAAGGTTTACATGGACAGCCAGCCAGCCAGCCAGCCAGCCAGACGGACGGACGGACGGACATAGCTTAATCGACTCAGAAAACGATTCTAAGCCGATTGGTATACTTTAAGGTGGGTCTAGGACGAATATTTTTGTATGTTACAAACATCAGCACAAATCCAATATACCCTCCCCACTAAAGTGGTGTAGGGTATAAAAACGCACAAATACATTTCATAAACAACAACACGCCTGAAGGCTTGTTTTGGCAACCACAACAAAATGAGATGGTCTGATGAAATGCAAAAACTTTGAGACAATAACAATTCTGTATATAACAACAAAAACAGTTGTAAAGAAAGCACATACAACAATAATAATAATGCTTAAGAAAAAAATTACATTTAATATTCATAACTTTCTTACTTGTTATTTATTTTTTTTTTTTGTAATTGATCATTTCACAAGATAGTGATAGGTGTTGGCGGCAGCATTTATAAATTTCTTAAAAAATACACATTAACACTTTTTTGTTATTTGCACTTGTTAATCACTTAATTAATACTTTAAATTACTTTAATTTTTAATAAATTATTCTTTATAAATTTTAACAAATTTGCAACCGCTTAGTTTAATGATTAAAAGAGAACTAATAAAAAGTAGAATATGCAATTGAAAGGGAATGGCTAAAATGTCAAAACGCCTAATTCTATTAGTTTTTTGAAATCCTTAAGGTATGCTAAGGATTTGTGTATTTAAGTGTTTTAGTGTTTTCCCCCTTAAGAAATCAAGTAGTTTTGGATTGCTGCCGCCACCCACTATTACTTCGTACAGGCAACCTCAAATATGTACAAAGGTAAGTTTGTTTTTGTAAAATTTACAACAACAATTTACATATATAAAACAAATTGCGGAAAAATTATTTGTTAAGATTAAGCAAATTTAACAATTTTTTCATAGTTATATGATTTTCTTGATACAAAACTTTCTTATTGCTGTTGTTGTTTTTCTCCTTTCCAATATTTGTTGTTATGCATAGCTTTGTTATTGTTTCAAAGGTTTTGCTTGGCATCAGGTCGTAACTTGTTAAAATCTGCAGCCGTATTTGTTGTTTATGAAATTTGTTTGTGCGTTTGTTATTGCCATATGTTTGTGTATAGTGGGGTTTTGGGTCAGGTTCACAATGATTGGATTGTAAAAACAGTTCTATAATAAAAACTTCCCTTGCAAAAACAAAGTGCAATTTGTAGTTTATTATGGTTGCTGCGTTTGGCCGTTGTTTTTGTTCAGCTTATGTTTGTTACAGGTATGTATTTGTTTTGTTTTTGATGGGCTTTCAACATACATTTGTATAGATGCTACAATTGCTGATAGGATTGTTTAGAAAGTAAAGGACAAAGAGAATAGAATAGTTAGGTTAAGGATTTTGCGTGTTTAGATTATGCTCAAGTATGGATATTTCTAAATAATTAAACAAATAATTTGCACAATGTTGTAATAGTTGAAGACTAAACTATCTTTAGTACAAAATCTACTAAGCGCTTGCAAATTTGTTAAAATTTATAAAGACGCAGTCAAAAATTCTGTTTTTTTTTATAATTTATTAAAAAAGAAGTAGTAAAGTTTATATTGTTCCTTTCCATAAGAAATTAAAATGTTTCTGGAAGCAGTCACCAGCCACCAATAATTTGCTTAGCGATTCATTTATAACCTAAAAAAGTAAGAGTTCTATAGACGGCTGTGCCGAATCTTATATACCCTTCACCATAGTGAATTAAACAAAAGAGTCGATTTGAAGAACGAAAGGAACTAAAAAAATTCCCGATTGAAATCATTTTGTGATCATTTATATTTTCCTTCCTTTTCTTTTATTTAAAACCCTAAGAAAACTAAAATCGCTTATAACTTCGTTAAAACTCGTTTAAATTGCAAAAGAACCTCTTTTTGTGATCACATCATAAATCGATCTTTTTTTCAAAAACCTAAGAAAACTAAAATCGCTTTTAACTTCGTTAAAATACGTTTAAATTGAAAAAGAAGCTCATTTTGTGATCACTTATATATTCCATTAAAAATCGATTTTTTGGTCAAAAACCTAAGAAAACTATATTCGCTTATAACTTCGTTAAAACACGTTTTAATTGAAAAAGGACCTCATTATGTGATCACTTATATCTTCCATTAAAAATCGATTTTTTGGTCAAAAACCTAAGAAAACTAAAATCGCTTATAATTTCGTTAAAACACGTTTAAATTGAAAAAGGACCTCATTTTGTGATCACTTATATTTTCCTTCAAAAATCGATCTTTTGGTCAAATACCTTAGAAAACTAAAATCGCTTATAACTTCGTTAAAACACGTTTAAATTACAAAAGGACCTAATTTGGTGGTCACTAATATACTTCATCATAAATCGACCTTTTGGTCAAAAACTTTAGAAAACTAAAATCGCTTATAACTTCGTTAAAACACGTTTAAAATGAAAAGGGACCTCATTTTATGATCACTTATATTTTCCTTCAAAAATCGATCTTTTGGTCAAAAACCTAAAACACGTTTAAATTGAAGATGGATCTCATTTTATAATAATTGTGATCACTTTTGGTAGTGATCATTAGATTTCTGGGAGTTAAACTAAAAAGTATTGCATACCTTGAAGTGAAAATGAAGCATATTAAGTTGTATGCCTTAAAATAGGTGCTATAATGTTAAACAGATTAGAATAAAACAGGGCGACCAATATAATATATATGTATAAAAGAAACCTGCTACCGAATTCTGAACGTCTGGATCAAACTATATTGTAGCACAGACGCAAACCCAAATTGGTACAAACATGAAAAGAGGAAAGAAATAAACACATAAAATAAATAAAAATCATTATTAATTTTTCAAAATATGTATATTTTTATTATAATAATTTGTTGATATTTTTATTATTATTATTAAATTATAAACATATAAATAATAAACATTTATTATAAAATAGACTTAAGGATTTAAGTTAGAAATTGTATAATAATTCTTCTTTGATTAGTTTATAAAAGGGATAAAGGAGCAGAAGATAAAACATAAAACAATGTGTACAAAAAAAAGTAATTTTGAAACAATAAAAAATATTTATTTTTTTTTTCTTACTTTTTCAATAATTTGCCATAAAAATTGAACTTAATTTAAAGTGATCTACACAAGACTTTATGTAAATTGTATATATATAAAAAAAGAATACAATAACTGACTTAAATTATAGATTACTGATTTAATTATTAGTTTTTTTCCGTTTCTTTTAATTATTTATACTAATAACAATTTGTAAATACAAAAAAAAAGTTGCAAAACTTTTACAAATACAATAAACTGTAGCTTTTTATTTTTCAAAATATTTGTTTTATTTTTTTTTTACATTATTTTGTGTAAAAGTTTAAAAATACTAAAAAATTAATAAAAAAAATAAATAAGTTAATTCGCGTTAAACGTGATTTTACTTTGCTGTTAAGCAATAATGACATTAATTAATAAAATATATTTATATTTATTAAAAAAAAAAAACAAGATATTTCTTTTAATTTTTTTTTTCAAATTATCTTAAAAGTTAATTATAAAAATATATATGTATGTATGTGTAGGTATATAAAATAATTGTATAAAAATATTTTTAATAATATAAAACAAAACAATGCCTTGATATTGTTTTAGTTTTTGTTGTTGTTGTTTGATTTTAAACCATACACTCATTTGAAAATTTACTGTCCCTTATATTTTTTGCAAACAATTAATCGTTATCGTTTATCGTTTATATTTGTTATTTGCTGCTTATTGAGGTGTTTGGCTTGAACGGCGTTTATCTTTATCCTTTTCTTTCTCCTTGTCGCCTCCTTTGCGGCCAAATATTCTAAATACACCACTGCGACGATCTTCTTTAGATTTACTGCCCTTAACTCCCGACACCGAGGATATGGACTGAGCTTCACTTTCACTGGAACTTTCGGCCGAAACACGTGACAAATTTATTGAGTCGGGCTGTAATGATACGGGTCGCGTTGATTCAAATCGGCTTGTACCCCAACCTATATGATGGAAGTGTAGAAAATAGAAATTCATTTTAATGTTGTTCTTAATTTTGTAAGCAAAATTTGTTGGAAAGTTTTACATGCATTTATATTTAATTTAAGCTAGAAGAAAGGCTTAATATGCTCTAAAATTGTTTAGGATTTAAATTAGTTGCTTTTTATTGAAATCTCTTTTGATTTACAAAAAAATTATAAAAGTTTTGAAATTATTACAAATTTAGAGCATATTTTTTAATAATGAAAATTGCAATTATTAGTAAAATTCAATTACTTTGTAGACTTGTACGCAAATAGGATCGATTTATTCTAGTAGTTTTAAATACAGATCCTGAATATGCAAAACCCATATTTAAAGAAAGAAAGCATGCAAAATATATAAAAAGTAAATAAACATTCATAAAAAATTTATAACAAATGCACCGCCACCAAAAATATAATTAAAAAATGTTAAGAAAATAAATAATAAATAAAAAACAATTAGTAGAAAATTAAATGAAACGTATTCATCAACATTTGTGGATTTTTTATAAATTATAACTGAATTATAACTGAACTAGAACTGAACTAGAACTGAACTAGAACTGAACTAGAACTGAACTAGAACTGAACTAGAACTGAACTAGAACTGAACTAGAACTGAACTAGAACTGAACTAGAAACTGAACTAGAACTGAACTAGAACTGAACTAGAACTGAACTAGAACTGAACTAGAACTGAAACTAGAACTGAACTAGAACTGAACTAGAACTGAACTAGAACTGAACTAGAACTGAACTAGAACTGAACTAGAACTGAACTAGAACTGAACTAGAACTGAACTAGAACTGAACTAGAACTGAACTAGAACTGAACTAGAACTGAACTAGAACTGAACTAGAACTGAACTAGAACTGAACTAGAATTGAACTAGAACTGACCTAGAACTGAACTAGAACTGAACTAGAACTGAACTAACTAGAACTGAACTAGAACTGAACTAGAACTGAACTAGAACTGAACTAGAACTGAACTAAAACTGAACTGAACTAGAACTGAACTAGAGCTGAACTAGAACTGAACTAGAACTGAACTAGAACTGAACTAGAACTGAACTAGAACTGAACTAGAACTGAACTAGAACTGAACTAGAACTGAACTAGAACTGAACTAGAACTGAACTAGAACTGAACTAGAACTGAACTAGAACTGAACTAGAACTGAACTAGAACTGAACTAGAACTGAACTAGAAACTGAACTAGAACTGAACTAGAACTGAACTAGAACTGAACTAGAACTGAACTAGAACTGAACTAGAACTGAACTAGAACTGAACTAGAACTGAACTAGAACTGAACTAGAACTGAACTAGAACTGAACTAGAACTGAACTAGAACTGAACTAGAACTGAACTAGAACTGAACTAGAACTGAACTAGAACTGAACTAGAACTGAACTAGAACTGAACTAGAACTGAACTAGAACTGAACTAAAACTGAACTGAACTAGAACTGAACTAGAGCTGAACTAGAACTGAACTAGAACTGAACTAAACTGAACTGAACTAGAACTGAACTAGAAACTGAACTAGAACTGAACTAGAACTGAACTAGAACTGAACTAGAACTGAACTAGAACTGAACTAGAACTGAACTAGAACTGAACTAGAACTGAACTAGAACTGAACTAGAACTTAACTAGAACTGAACTAGAATTGAACTAGAACTGAACTAGATCTGAACTAGAACTTAACTAGAACTGAACTAGAATTGAACTAGAACTGAACTAGAACTGAACTAGAACTGAACTAGAACTGAACTATAACTGAACTAGAACTGAACTAGAACTGAACTAGAACTGAACTAGAACTGAACTAGAACTGAACTAGAACTGAACTAGAACTGAACTAGAACTGAACTAGAATTGAAATAGAACTGAACTAGAACTGAACTAGAACTGAACTAGAACTGAACTAGAACTGAACTAGAACTGAACTAGAACTGAACTAGAACTGAACTAGAACTGAACTAGAACTGAACTAGAACTGAACTAGAACTGAACTAGAACTGAACTAGAACTGAACTAGAACTGAACTAGAACTGAACTAGAACTGAACTAGAACTGAACTAGAACTGAACTGAACTAGAACTGAACTAGAACTGAACTAGAACTGAACTAGAACTGAACTAGAACTGAACTAGAACTGAACTAGAACTGAACTAGAACTGAACTAGAACTGAACTAGAACTGAACTAGAACTGAACTAGAACTGAACTAGAACTGAACTAGAACTGAACTAGAACTGAACTAGAACTGAACTAGAACGAACTAGAACTGAACTAGAACTAGAACTGAACTAGAACTGAACTAGAACTACAACTGAACTAGAACCAGAACTAGAACTAGAACCAGAACTAGAACTGAACTAGAACTGAACTAGAACTGAACTAGAAGATAGTTAATCCGTTAAATAACCTAATGAATACGTTTCAATATTATTTCGGAGAATTTTGTACAAACAATAAAATATTAGATTTTTTAAATAAATTCCCGAAAATATTTTCAATTTGTGCAAAATTCTCGAAATTTTTTTCTTTTTTTAAGGATTAGTAGTTGATGTTTTTTTTTTAGATTTTGAACCAATACCCTCATTATTATGATGATTGTTATTATTATTGATGACACTCATGTAACTTGGATTATTAATGGAATTATTTTCAGTGCTACTACTATTCAAGTTGTTTGTAAAATGCCACACTGTACGACTATGTTGCGAGGAGGATGATGATGATGTTGTTGTTGTGATAGATGATGTGGTAGAAATTTGTTGAAAGGATGATGATGATGTTGTAGTTGTAATAGTATTGTTATTATTATAGTTATTGACTTGTTGTTGATGTTTACCATTATTACTGTTATTATTGCTGTTGCTGCGCGTTATGAGTACAGTATTGTTAATGGGACTATTACTGCCCAGACTGGAATTCGAACTAGTCGAGATGGTAGAGTGTACGGTACGTTTTGTTGTAGTTACACCAGGCAACTGTTGTTGCACACCCGTTGCTGTCTCCATTTCTATGAATTTTGTTACCAAATTACTACTACCACCAGCAGTTGTACCGCTCGTACCGCTTAAACTTGAACGGGGAGCTGCAATTATTTTGTGCTGCTGTTGTTGTACTCTCATATAATTTGCTTGCGGTTCATTAGGATGTTGTCCTGTAGCGGCAGCAGCCGCATTAAAGGCATTTATACGTTGCTGAACTTGAGCCTGATGTTGATGATGGTTTGCATGATGATGATGTTGCTGCTGACCGGCAGCAGCAGAAGAATCTGCTACTCTGGCTAATGGTGGCATTGTCGTTGGTAAAGGTGGAGGATTTTCTATACAGTAGGTTGTTGTTATGTGAAATGATTTTTGTTTTTGGTTTGGAAATTGAAATGATATAATGAATGGTTTGTTTGTAACGTTTATTTGTTTTATATGTATGCATATATGTATTTTTATATAAAAAGGGACGCAAAAAGAAAAACGGGGAGCAGGGAATGTAAGGACAAAAAACACATTAATGATATAAATAATTTGTTTTCTTTTTGTTTTAACAGATCACATCACTACACTTTGGGACATTGTACAACATATGTAAGTACATACATATACACAATAGTTAATAACGAGCACAATATCATACGATAAACTTACCTGATTGTCTAGCCTCACTATTGCGTTTTAAAACAACGACATTGTCATCATTTGAACCATTCGGTAAACGTGGCATACTGCCTCCAATAATTTCGGAACCATATTCTAAAGAGTTAATAAAGAAAAGTAAAATTATAAACAATTTTTCAAATTTTAACTTATAAAGTTTGTTTTCTAAAACTACTAATTTTAAAATCTTGAAAATTTTGAAATTATTTTCCAAAAATATTAAGTTTGAAATATAAAATTGCTAGAAATTAGACTCGAAAATTCTCATGGTTTAGAGTAGAGATTATTTTAATAGCTTTAAAAATTTTTCGAATATAACCTTAAAAGCTTAACAACTTTTAAAATTAGAAAATTATTTTGGTAAAGTTCGAAGTTCGAAATTGAAAAATTTTAGAAATTGAACTCAATTAGAACTGAATTTATATTTTTATACATCTTCCTGGGAATTTGCTGAATTTGTAATCTTACCTGTACTGGTATTGAGGGGATTACGCATGACAACTAAATTATCGGTACTTTGACGATTGGGTACTGGTGGTGGTGCACCTCTAGGTGGTATGGGTGGTTTGTGTTCAAAACCTACTGATCCGGTTGGCGAAGAGGGTGGCTGCTTTAAATAAAATAAAATTTAAAAACCATTTTATATTGACTCTGATTGAAATTTAAAATTCCCAACTCACCTGTTGTTGTTGCATTTGTTTTTGTAAAAAGTTCATTTGTGGAGTAGCTGTGGAACTAATAGAAATGCTGCTATTCATAGAGTTCGTACGGGATGCAGAACGTCTTTGTGAATCAGGCGATGAAGTACGAGAACTTACGGGTGATTCTACACTTTGACCACTGACTACTTTAATATCGGGGAAGCTGTTTGATTGTTGCTGTTGAAACCGAAAAAAAAACATCATTAATATTTGTAAAGTTTAAAATAATCTAAAGAAATCAGTTATGTATTTATATACCTTCATGGAGTCATCATAACTTAACAATTGTAGATTTGGTGGTAGACTAGCGTGGAATGATATCTTACGAACCCAATCGTTCATAATTTCCAAAGAGGGTGCTTCGAATAAGAACTCTGAACCGTCGGGTAGTTTTAATCTGAATACATATTTCTTCTTGGTATAATCTTCGGCACGTTCACATTTCGCTCCCAATATATTGACGGGTGCATTGGCGGTCTTCTGTTGCAGGAAATCATTTTCATCCTTGAAGAAACACAACAGTTGGCCACACAATACAGTATGGAATTGTTTCCAGGAACGTACGGGTGCCTTTTTACCGCCCGACTGTAGACCATGTTTCCTCTCAAGCATACCTTGAATTTCTACGGGTGGTAAGTCGAAACCTTCACCTTTCTGATTCTTACGGAATGATTGAGCGCGACGACGTGTTGTGAATGATGGTGTACGTTTTGGTTGTTTCTGTTGAACTTTCATGGATTCGGCACGTTTGACATTCTGATCGGAGCCACGTCTTAAGCGATCGCCAAAGATGTTGGACGAGGAGCTCTTTTGCAGACCATACTGATCGTCTTCGTAGGCGGATACAGGTCTCAAGGGTGATTGTGTATTTTGGCTGGGTGTATTATTACCGGAGCCGGCAGTAACGGTTACCATAGGACTTGAGAAAATAGGAGTCTTTTCTTGATTATTGGCATTATTTCTATGCTCCATTTGTTTTTCAGCACGTCTTCTTTCGTCATTGAGACGTTGCAACTCTTTTTGTTTCAACATTTCTAGACGTTCCTTCTCCAAACGTTCCTTTTCTTTAAGCTTGGCCAATTTCTCGCTTTCAACTTGTTTGCGGAATCTTTGTTCTAATAAGGTAATACGCTTAATGGCTTGGAATTTCTCCTCTTGAGCTTCTACAGTCTTTTCGAAATCAGAGTGGCGTCTCAGCAAGTCTTCCACTTGTGGTATTGAATCACCAACTTTGGTATCTTTGAGTAAAGGCTCTCTGCTGACGATCCAATTTTCCAAAATGTCAGCATCCTTTAAGAACATTTGAGTATCCAAATTAAGTTCATAGATTTCCTTACGTTGCTGTAAAGTGTGTTCCAATAGTTCGTGTCTTTGTTGTAGAACCTGTATTTTCTCTTCGATTTCATGGGCCAGGAAGTGTTTCTCTCTTATGAGTTTTTCACCCTTGGCTTTGAATTTGGCAAAGGTTTCATCTCTTGCTCTGATCTCGGCATGATGCTCTTTGATACTGGCCAATAGGGATTCTGCTCCTGCTACAGTATTTGCCAAATCGGGGGCAGTAATTTTGGCTAACATTTCATTGATCCAGGCTATTAAATCACGGTATTCGTCAAAGTATGATTGCAATTGTTCAGCTTGTTGTAGTTTTTCCTTGCGTATATTTGATTTTTCTGTAATATCTGCCCAAGCTTCAATGGTTTCATCTCTCTTAACTTCAATGTGTTCCTTGGCATCGGGATAGATTTCAGCCAAGTTATTGGCTTCATTCATAACAGAATTCACCTGTTCTCGTATGGCTTCCAATTCAGTTTCGAAAACCAAATGTTTGCGGTTCAAAGCCTGTATACTTTCTAAATCTTGACCATAATCTTCCGATATTAAATTGGCTTCTTTTTCGTTAATCAGAGAAATAGTTTCATCAGCAACACGATCGTATACATGTACCTGTTTGGCACCGTCCAAAGCATCTTTACGTGCCGACACCAGATCTTTAAGTTCATCCCATAATTGTTTGGTTTCATCACGTTTAGTTTTAATTGATGTTCTATAGGGATTATTTTCCTTAATCAATTCATCACCTTTCTCCAAATGGGCCTTAACTCTGCCTTCGTTGGCCGTAAGATTAGAAACAAAAGTTTCAAATACCAATATCAGCTGCTCAACATGCTCAACATCTTCACCGTAATCTTCCGAAGCGGTAACAGCCATTTGATCGTTAATCCATTCATGAAGATCTTCAGTTTCACGCAAATATTCAAACAATAATTTGCTTTCTTGCAGGCGAACTTCACGATCCTTGGCCAAGCGTTTAAGTTCTTCATATTGACTATTAACAGAATCTTGTTTTGCTTTAATGTTGGCACTGTCAAAGTGATTGCGTTCCACCAAATTTGAAGCTAACTTATTAACCTTTTCAATTGAAGGTTTAAATGACTGCAATTCGCGTTGTAAAACTTCAAGTTTCTTTTGATGGGATTGAACAGACAACTCATCTTTGCCATAGTCCGAGGACACAACAATTGGTCTCTTTTCTCTGATCCAAGATTCGGCTTCGTTGGCCTCAACATAGAACATTTGTGATTCTACGGCATCCAAAAGTCTTATACGGCGTATGCTGCACAGTTCACGTAGATTTACTAATTTGCTCTTAATGCGATCACACTTGTATTGCAGCTGTTCTGAGGCAAAGTGGTTATCGCGTATCATTTGATCTCCCCGCTGTAGCAAAGATTGTATCAATGGCTCTTGGGATAAGAGTTCGGCTTCCAAGGCTTGATGTTTCTTTTGCAAAGTCTGAACTGCTGTCAAGGATGTGCCTAAATCTTCAGAGCCTGCAATAGCTTCCTTTTCGTTTAGCCACTGTAGTTCATCTTCGGCATCACGAAGGAATTGTTGCAAACTGAAAGAGTCCTCTAAGTTCTCCCTTCTAATGCCCAAAGGTTCATGGAGGGTATGATAGCGTTTTATTGTAGACATGGCACGCTCATGAATATCGTCTTTAAGGAAATGATCGGCTTGGAAGAATTTCTCATCTTGTTGTTTAATCTGTTCAGCTAATTCGGCATGATGAGCTACATCGGCCTCTAAACGTTCATGTTTCTTAATTAGATTGGTAACTGCAGCCAAATCTTTGCCATAATCTTCATTGGACAAGTGAGACTCCACTTCATCCATCCAGTTGTTGAATTCATCCACACTACGATTGAAGGTGAGCGCTTCATAGGCTTGATTCAATTTATCATTCTTTTCTTTAGAAGCTGACTTAAGTTTCAACCAATCTGCCTCGAGCATTTCCAACTGTTGGGCAATTTCTTCCTTGGCATAGTGATCGTTTTTGATCAAACGTTCTCCTTCCTTGATTACATCCTGAACTCTGGAAGCATTATTGAGCAATTCACTATCGAAAGCATTATGCTTTTGTAATTTACTCTGCAAGTTGCTGGGTTCTCTATAGTTCTCGTCCATGGCTATCTGCATTTTTTGCACCAACCAACGATCGATTTCATAAAGACTTCTTAGGAATTCTTGCAATTGTAGGGATTGTTGCAATCTTTGTTTACGCTCTTGTGATGAGTTATTTAGTTTTTCTTTTCTTCTCACTACATAGGCCAGTTTTTCTCTTATGACATCAGCTCCATTGGGTTCGCCTTCAAGTATCGACTTGGCAAACTTTTCCAAGTCAGAGACATTGTCGGAATCCAAGAGTTTTTCGAAAGCTTCATGTTTCTTAAGGAGTCTTTCGACAGCAGTGTATGAATCACCCAAATCGTCGTTGTTAAGGAAGGCCTCCTTGTTGGCCAACCATATTTCGACTTGTTCCACTTGAGCCTTGAACAATTGCAATTGATGGGCTTCTGTCAAATCCTTGGCTCTATCACTCCAGGCTTCGTGAAGATTTTGATGTAAATCTTCCAATATTTTAAGATGTTGTTTAGCTCTGTCGGATTTATCATTGTCCGACAATTGTTCACCTTGGAGTTTCAAGTCTTTGAAGGCCTTGTCACGACCATCAATTTCAACTTTTCTTTCCTGATGCAATTCCAATTGGGTTTCGCAATCATTAATGGTCATTGGTGTAGGTGCAGCATTCATTTTCTTAATCATGTCATTTACCCAAAGTTCCAATTCCCGTACATCAGATACAAATTTGTGTACCAAATAGGCTTCATTGAGAAGTTTACGTCTTTTGACAGCCAAGTCTTGCAATTGTTTCCAGGAGAGTGATAGTTCATCTAGTTTCTGAGCAATATCCATGGCTCTTTCTGGATATTTATTCTGCAAAGTACGAGCATTTTGTTCATGTTCGGATATTTTTTGCTTGACAGCAGACATATCACGCTCCAAGGCATCTTCGCGACGTATTAAAGTCTCGACGGCAGCTAAATCGCGACCAGTGTCTTCAGAGCTCATGGCTAAAGCTTTCTCAGCTATACGTTCAGCTGTATCTTCGACGTCTCTGTTGAAAACATGTATTTCATTGGCTCCACCCAATAAGGCACGGTAGGCATTCAAAGCTCCTTGCAATTGACGCCATTTATTGTTGAAATCACGTCTACGTTTGTCAATATTGGCAGATTCTGCTGGTACTTGACCTTGATTAATCAATTTATCGGCCAGAGTATTGATATGTTTCACACGTTGATCATCTACTCTCATATCGGAATCAACATCATCCAATTTACGCATTAAAGCATTGCAATGTTCCAAATCACGGCCAGTATCGCTAGCTTGAACCATCATTTCCTTATCTCTTATCCAGGCTTCAATCTTGTCCAATTGATTATTGAATTCCAAGATATCTTGAGCCTCTTCTAAACCACGACCACGGTTGTCGAGTTCATCCAAAAGACCCTTCCAAGCTGAAAGCACACGATCGATAGCTTGTTTGATTTCAGGTGAGGATTCGTGTTGTTTGGAGAGTAGAATTAATCCCTTCTCTTGAATTTCCTTAATACGTCCCTGGTTAGCAGCTACTTCTGCCTGGAAGGCTTGATGTTTCTGCAATTTCTTGATCTTCTCATCAAGATTGGAGACCTCGTTGTAGTTGCCAGCATCGGCTTCCAATTTCTTTTGCTTCTCATTTATCCAAGATTCAGCTTCAGCACAATCTCTAACGAATTGAGCATAGAGGAGAGCATCTTCCAGTTTGTAACGTCTAACGGCACAAAGATCTTTAACCTTTTGACGTCTGGCCAAGACACCCTGCAAAATCGTTTGTATATTTGCACTGTCATAGTGTCTTTGCTCGATCAGCTTACGACCATGTTCCTGCAACAAAGCCACCTTATCTTCTTGAGTTTGTATGAGTCTTTCGAATTCATCATGCTTTTTAATTTGATTTTGTACATCTTCAACGGTTTGGCCAAAATCGGAGCTGGACAAGGCAGCCTGTTGAGAACTGGAAAGGTTGTCAATTTGCTTGGCATCACGCAAAAAGCAGAACAAATCGATTTTTTGTTCCAACATAATTTTCTTCTTATTCCATGCTGTGTGTAGTTTAGCGCGTTCATCTAACATGGCAGAACATTTCTCTTCAACCTCGGCAGCAGCATAGTGGCCAGTCTGGACCATAGAATCACTTAGTTCATTGAGTAGACGGAATTTATCTTCGCGGGCTTCAATTTCACCATAAATGGCATCATGTTGAATTTTAAGTGCTGTAGCGCCAGCAGCATCACTGACGTGCTCTTCAGCCTGCAAGGCAGCGCGCAAGTTAGACGACCAAGACATGATATCTCTGACATCAGTGAGGAAAGTTTGTAGATCATAACTGGCTGCTAAACGATCACCTCTAGCACCGGAACGTTCTTTCAAATCATTCCAGGCTGCGACCACCTTGTCTTGTTGTTGGGCAATAGCAGCGGCATTAGAGGGATATTTGGCTTGCAGACGTACAGAATCCTCAACCAAAACTTGCAATTGGGCTTCCAAAGCCACCAAATCGTTTTCAAAGCCTTCATGTTTACGTGTCAAGGCTAAGGCAGAGTTCAAATCTTTACCCAATTCGGTGGAAAGAGCAGCATTTTTGTCCTGTATACGGAACAAAGCTTCGGCTACATCACGATGGAAACGATGAATTTCACCAGCGGCATGTAATTTCTGTTCTCTTAAGTTCAACAATTTGAGAAGATTATCCCAAGACATGCGTAATTGCTCCTGTCTCTTTTCAACGTCTGGAGCATAAGGACTTTCTGTGTCAATTAGTTTTTTAGCCAATACCTCACATTGTACCACACGATCAGCTCCTACTTCTACGCGATGCTTAAGATCATCGAATTTGTTTTGCAACAATTGCAAATGTTCGTAATCTTGACCATAATCCTCTGAAGAAGCCACCTGTTCTTGTTCTTTTATCCATTGCTCAACTTCATCCGATTCAATGAAATATTCGTGCATGTACAAGCTTTCCATGAGACGCAGTTGTCTTTGGGAGGCCAGTTTATGCAGTGATTTTAGCATTTTTTCAATTAGTTGCTGTTTGGCCGATAGGATTTTACTGTCCGGATGTTGGGCTGCTACCATGGCTGCGCAATTATGTCCCATTTCGGTAACAATGCCGGTATAAGTGTCCAATTCCAACTCAATTGTTTTGTGTTTGGTTAAGAGTTTGGCAGCAGAATCACGATCGCGACCATACTCGGTAGATCTGAGAGCATTTTGTTTCTCTCCCAACCAGGCTTCAATTTCGCTGGCATCATAGAGGTACTGTTGGGCCTTCAAAGACATTTCCAATTTCTTACTACGTTCATTGGTGTTGTACTCCAAATCGTTCCAGGCATCTTCAAGCTTGGTGCACAGATCTTTGACATTTTCCTTTTCGGGATGATTTTGCTGTACCAAGGCCTGGCCAGCTAGTAGAGCTTTGTTGATCATGGGCTGATGGCCCTTGATTTCAGCTTCTAACTTCTTGTGCTTTTTGGATAAAGTTTGGGCTTGATGAAGATTTTGGCCCAGTTCTTTGGATTTGGCAGCGGGCAAATGATCGTTAATCCATTGGAATTCATTATCTAGTTCAAATACAAACTTGTGATAATTAAGACTTTCCTCTAGCTCATCGCGTCTCTTTTGCATGGGATCACGTAATAGTTTAAATCTATTTTGTATATCCTTGGATTCGCCCTTAATGTTGTCAGCATTAAAGTGACCTTCATGGGCCATTTCTTCGCCAGAATTAACCAATTCATCGATCTTTTGTTCCCATACGGTAATTTCAGATTCCAATAGTTGGTGTTTGTTGATAAGATCTTTGCAACTTCTCAAATCATTGCCCACATCCTTACTCTTCAGGGCAGAATCTAATTCACCCACCTTCTTTTTGGCATCTTCAATGGCTCTGTTATGTTCACGCTGTGAAGCTGCTTGTTCCAGTTTGCGTCCCTTATCCTCTGATAAAACCAATAGATCCTTCCATTTCTTATTTAAGTCGCTAACACGTTTCTCTACTTCAGGTTTACGGTTGTTGGCAGCAATCAATTGTTCACTGTCCTTGTTAACGTTGCGCAATTGACCTTCATTGGCGCGAAGTTCTCGCTCGAAAGCTTTATGCTTTTGTAATTTGCGTGGCAAGTTGCTTAGATCTCTGTAGTTTTCGTCTCCAGCTATTTTTGTTTTATCCTTCAACCAGGCATCCAAATCATCGGCTTCGGCGGCAAACTTGTGGAAGTCCTTAGAGGCTTGCAGAGAACGTTTACGCTCAAAGGCTTTGTCTTTCACAGCTTTGCGTTTAGCCAAAACTTGGTTGCGTCGATCATCAATGCTGGAAAGTAAATAGATCTTGCTGTTAGGTATCTTCTATATAATTAAAAGGGATTAAAAAATACTTACTATTTGTCGTCATAATGTTTGTTGGCGATTAATTTATCGGCATTATCGGAGAAACCTTTAAGGATTTTATCCTGGGCCATTAAACTCTTCTCAAAGTCCAGATGACGTTTCAAAATTGCTTCTACTTCATCTAAGGAGTTCTGTAATAGAAAATTTCCAATATTAGTTCTGTTTGTGTGGGAATTTTGAAACAGACACTTACTCCTAAATTATTATATTCCAAAAAGGCTTCATGACTCTTAGTGGTAGCATCAATTTTGTCAGCTTCACGATTGAAAATTTGCAATTCCACACATTGTTGCAACCACTTTTGCTTCTCCAACCAACCACGATGAATGGCATCTTGTTCGGCCTTAAGACGCTCAATGATCTTGACAGTTTCTTGCATGTTCGGCTTACCATCTGACAATTGTTTGCCCAAATTAATAACTTCAGCAAATTCATTGTCATGAGCTTTAATGTCATCGCCCAAATCATTGTGTTGTTTCAACAGCTTATTAGCAGTTTCCACATCTCTGGCTGGTTCATCGGAGTTCAATTGATCCTTAACCGAATCAATCCAGGCTAACAACGTTTTGGCGCTGTTGTTGAAAATCTGTTGACCTACAGCACTTTCAATACGAGCTCTTAATTCACTGCTCTTATTGTGGACTTGACCCCACATGTCTTGTACTTCTTGCTGACGGGCTGTCACATTATCTCTTTCGGCCGGATAGGCATTTTTCACTGAATTACCCAGGTAATTGACACGGTTAACTTTCTCTTCAATGGGTGCCAATTCACGTTCCATATTTTGATGACGTCTTTGCAAGGCCTGTACGGTTTTCAGATCCGGACTTATTACCGCAGTATCTAACTGTAACATTTTCTCACTCATCCATACTTTAGCTTCATCACAAGTACGATTGAATAATTCCACACTGGAAGCTCCTTCCAAGCTCTTCTCTTTTTGAACCTTGGCATTATTAAGTCTCTGCCAGATTTGGTGTATTTGCTTCTGACGTGCTATTATCTTGTCTAGTTGGGAATGACCCTGTCTGCGGAATGTGTCCACAGCCGAATCGATTTCCTCAATACGTTTTGAGGCCGCCGAAAGATCTGTCAAGAACTTTTCGAATTTACGTTTAGCATTCTCTACGCCTTCACCACCTTCATCGGATTTAATCATACGTTCTTTCTCCTTCATCCACTTCTCGAAGTCATCACATTCACGATAGAAACCAAAGAGGTGTATGGAGTCTTCCAAGAGAGCATGACGTTTTTGGGCAGTATCTTGTAATTCATCGTAGGTAGCATTAATGCGTTTTTGTCTCTTCTCTACACTGTCGGAATTTTCATTAATACTGTTGACCGAGGTGCGACGCTTGACCAAAGGTTTGGGTGTAACGACGGTGGGTTTGACACGCTTAACTGGGACCACCTGACGCACCAATATGGTTTTCTTGACTTTTTGCAAAGCTTTTACTTTCTCAGCTTTAGGCACTATACAGGTTACGGGACGTGGCTCAATTTCTCTAACATAGTTGGCGGGCACAAAACCTTCATGACCATTTTCTTTGCGCACACACCACCAATCATCATTGGTTTTGGATTTTAATAGCATTACTTCGCCCTTTTCCATTTTCATGCCTTGACCTTCGAAGGGAAACATGGCCCGAACGTGTGGCAACATTTTCGTTTCGGTGACCTTGCGATGTTCCAATTTTTCCACCCATTCATCTTCCCAAACTTCTTTGGGCACTAAACGTGTTTCATTCACCCATTCCTCCTGTTGTTGTTGCTCTATTTCGGGCATTTCTGGCTCATTGGCCGATAACTCCAAAGTACAAATACCAGCTTTGATTAGTTTATCGGCTTGTTGGTTTAGATTTAGTATGTCGCCCGAATAGGCATTTAATTCACCCTGAAGATCACGGTGTCTTTGCAATAAAGCCTGAGCTGAGGGTTCATCATTGCCATAGTCTTTGGAATTGACTAAGGCCATTTTTTCGTTCAACCACGATTCCGCCTCATTGGCATCTGTATAGAATTGATAGGCTTCGGCAGCATCTTCTAGTTGTCTGCGACGCATTTCTACCAATTCTTCCAAGGCCTTCCAATGATCATCTAAACTATCGGTTCTTGATTTAATTTCCGCCGATCTGGGATGCTTATCAGCTATCAACCGTTTGCCAGCATCTGACATTTGTTGGGATTTTGATTTGCGGGATTTAATTTCATCTTCCAAAGCCTTGTGCTTTTGCTGCAAAGACAAAACAGCTCTTAGATCTTTGGCGGTAATGCCAGTTTTACATATGCGCTGTTTATCCACCAGCCAGCCCTCTTCGTTATCGTAATCTTCCATGAAATGATGGAAGTTACGGGCTTCTTCTAAGCAAGCTCGGCGTTTGGCACAAAGTTCTTGCAACACCTTATAGGCCTCTTCCAATTCAGCCAATTTCTTTGCAAGTACGGCGGCATCTTTGTGTTCAGAGTTTTTAAATGGCAAGGCCTGTCGGGTGAAACGTTTAATTGTTTCACCATAAGTATTCACTTGCAATTCCTGCAGCGAGTGAGCCTGCAATAACTCCTCAACACCCAATAAATGTGGTCCCACATCCTCGGATCTGAATTGTATTTGCAATTCACGTATGGACTCTGTGGTGCTGGCAATTTCTCGCAGCAAATTCATTAAGGTGCTCATTTGTGACAAATTCAAACGTTGATTCTCCAACAGCTCCAACAATTTACGCCATTTCTCCATAACCTCATTCTCTCGCTTTTTCACTCTCTCTTTGCCGTGATAGTTTTCACGTTCCAACTCATCGGCCATAGCCGTCAGATCATTGAAACGTTCAACTCTGGCCAATATATCGGCCGAAATGGCTTCATGTTTCTTGAGCGTAGCATCAACTTGCTTCAAATAGCGTGGATCTGAAAGGACCTGTATCATTTCCTTTAGATAACCCTCACGCAATACTGACTTCTTTTCGAATTTATAATTCAATTGCTCTAATTTCTCTTGACGCAAAAGTTCTTCTCTCAGTGCTACTTCACGATGATGTTCAGCATATTCCAGCAATTGCCACGCTTTCTCGATATCATTAACCAGTTGGCCATCTTGTGGATTGTAGGGTGGTTGATTAAGAGCTTTTAGCAGGGTGTTGATGGTAAAATATAAAGCTTCAATTTCACTGCGTTCTTTGTATCTGGAAAAATGGAGAAAATAAATTATACAATACGGGTTTAAATTGATGTAAAAGAAGTTTAGGGTCTGAGATATAGCACATAATAGATATGGGTTAGAAATTCTAACTTGGGATATTAGATTATAAACTAGAATATAGACAAGACTATAGGCTACAATATAGACTATATACTAGACTAACTAGGCTAGACTATAGGCTAGACATCAGACTAGACTATAGACAAGACTATAGACTAGGCTATGGACTAGACCATAGACTAGACAAGACTAGACCATAGACAAGATAAGACAAAAGACCAGACTATAGTCTAGACTATAGTCTAGACTAAATACTAGATTATAGACTAGACTATAGACTACAATATAGACTAGACTATATCATAGATTATATACTAGACTATAGACTAGACAATATGTACTAGAATATGGACTAGATTAGAATCTAGACTATAAACTAGACTATAGACTAGTCTATAGACTAGACTATAGACTAAACTATAGACTAGACTATAGACTAGACAATAGACTAGACTATAGACTAGACTATAGACTAGACTATAGACTAGACTATAGACTAGACTATAGACTAGACTATAGACTAGACTATAGACTAGACTATAGACTAGACTATAGACTAGACTATAGACTAGACTATAGACTAGACTATAGACTAGACTATAGACTAGACTATAGACTAGACTATAGACTAGACTATAGACTAGACTATAGACTAGACTATAGACTAGGCTATAGACTAGACTATAGACTAGACTATAGACTAGACTATAGACTAGACTATAGACTAGACTATAGACTAGACTATAGACTAGACTATAGACTAGACTATAGACTAGACTATAGACTAGACTATAGACTAGACTATAGACTGAACTATAGACTAGACTATAGACTAGACTATAGACTAGACTATAGACTAGACTATAGACTAGACTGTAGACTAGACTATAGACTAGACTATAGACTAGACTATAGACTAGACTATAGACTAGACTATAGACTAGACTATAGACTAGACTATAGACTAGACTATAGACTAGACTATAGACTAGACTATAGACTAGACTATAGACTAGACTATAGACTAGACTATAGACTAGACTATAGACTAGACTATAGACTAGACTATAGACTAGACTATAGACTAGACTATAGACAAGACTATAGACTAGACTATAGACTAGACTATAGACTAGACTATAGACTAGACTAGACTATAGACTAGACTATAGACTAGACTATAGACTAGACTATAGACTAGACTATAGACTAGACTATAGACTAGACTATAGACTAGACTATAGACTAGACTATAGACTAGACTATAGACTAGACTATAGACTAGATTATAGACTAGACTATAGACTAGACTATAGACTAGACTATAGACTAGACTATAGACTAGACTATAGACTAGACTATAGACTTGACTATAGACTAGACTATAGACTAGACTATAGACTAGACTATAGACTAGACTATAGACTAGACTATAGACTAGACTATAGACTAGACTATAGACTAGACTGTAGACTAGACTATAGACTAGACTATTGACTAGACTATAGACTAGACTATAGACTAGACTATAGACTAGACTATAGACTAGAATATAGACTAGACTATAGACTAGACTATAGACTAGACTATAGACTAGACTATAGACTAGACTATAGACTAGACTATAGACTAGACTATAGACTAGACTATAGACTAGACTATAGACTAGACTATAGACTAGACTATAGACTAGACTATAGACTAGACTATAGACTAGACTATAGACTAGACTATAGACTAGACTATAGACTAGACTATAGACTAGACGATAGACTAGACTATAGACTAGACTATAGACTAGACTATGACTAGACTATAGACTAGACTATAGACTAGACTATAGACTAGACTATAGACTAGACTATAGACTAGACTATAGACTAGACTATAGACTAGACTATAGACTAGACTATAGACTAGACTATAGACTAGACTATAGACCTAGACTATAGACTAGACTATAGACTAGACTATAGACTAGACCTATAGACTAGACTATAGACTAGACTATAGACTAGACTATAGACTAGACCTATAGACTAGACTATAGACTAGACTATAGACTAGACTATAGACTAGACTATAGACTAGAACTATAGACTAGACTATAGACTAGACTATAGACTAGACTATAGACTAGACTATAGACTAGACTATAGACTAGACTATAGACTAGACTATAGACTAGACTATAGACTAGACTATAGACTAGACTATAGACTAGACTATAGACTAGACCATAGACTAGACTATAGACTAGACTATAGACTACACTATAGACTAGACTATAGACTAGACTATAGACTAGACCAGACTATAGACTAGACTATAGACTAGACTATAGACTAGACTATAGACTAGACTATAGACTAGAGACTATAGACTAGACTATAGACTAGACTATAGACTAGACTATAGACTAGACTATAGACTAGACTATAGACTAGACTAGACTAGACTATAGACTAGACTATAGACTAGACTATAGACTAGACTATAGACTAGACTATAGACTAGACTATAGACTAGACTATAGACTAGACTATAGACTAGACTATAGACTAGACTATAGACTAGACTATAGACTAGACTATAGACTAGACTATAGACTAGACTATAGACTAGACTATAGACTAGACTATAGACTAGACTATAGACTTGACTATAGACTAGACTATAGACTAGACTATAGACTAGACTATAGACTAGACTATAGACTAGACTATAGACTAGACTATAGACTAGACTATAGACTAGACTAGACTAGACTATAGACTAGACTATAGACTAGACTATAGACTAGACTATAGACTAGACTATAGACTAGACTATAGACTAGACTATAGACTAGACTATAGACTAGACTAGACTATAGACTAGACTATAGACTAGACTATAGACTAGACTATAGACTAGACTATAGACTAGACTATAGACTAGACTATAGACTAGACTATAGACTAGACTATAGACTAGACTATAGACTAGGACTATAGACTAGACTATAGACTAGACTATAGACTAGACTATAGACTAGACTATAGACTAGACTATAGACTAGACTATAGACTAGACTATAGACTAGACTATAGACTAGACTATAGACTAGACTATAGACTAGATATAGACTAGACTATAGACTAGACTATAGACTAGACTATAGACTAGACTATAGACTAGACTATAGACTAGACTATAGACTAGACTATAGACTAGACTATAGACTAGACTATAGACTAGACTATAGACTAGACTATAGACTAGACTATAGACTAGACTATAGACTAGACTATAGACTAGACTATAGACTAGACTATAGACTTGACTATAGACTAGACTATAGACTAGACTATAGACTAGACTATAGACTTGACTATAGACTAGACTATAGACTAGACTATAGACTAGACTATAGACTAGACTATAGACTAGACTATAGACTAGACTATAGACTAGACTATAGACTAGACTATAGACTAGACTATAGACTAGACTATAGACTAGACTATAGACTAGACTATAGACTAGACTATAGACTAGACTATAGACTAGACTATAGACTAGACTATAGACTAGACTATAGACTAGACTATAGACTAGACTATAGACTAGACTATAGACTAGACTATTGACTAGACCATAGACTAGACTATAGACTAGACTATAGACTATAGAGTAGACTAGACAGTAGACTAGACTATAGACTTGACTATATACCAAGACTTTTACGATTTATATTTCCACACAAAGACCCTCGACAATCTTTATATTTGATCGATTTTAAAAACTCACTTTGGAGGCTTCTCTATAGTTCTGTATTCCTTAAATGCCAAAAGTTCCTTTTGTATACCCTCCAATGAATTGGGAAAATCACGTTGCTGTAGTTCCAATGTTTTCTGTCTAATCCAACTAAGTAAATTTGTGGTTAAACGTTCATAGTAAATTTTCTTACGATCAGCATCCATTAATTGACCCACAATCTGTAATTAATTTCAAAATTGTATAAATTTAAATTTATTGTAATTCATTACAAGTAATTTATTGTTAATTTAATAATGAAAAAGAAAACAAGAGAAATAATAATAAAAAATAGCTATTTGTCTTATTAAATAGACCGGAACTATTAATGCAAATTATTTTTATGATACTAGCAGAGCAGTATGGAATGATTGTGGATGGTAAACTATGTATGTATATATGAGCATAAATCATAATTTACACCATTTCAAGAAAATAAACATAGATTTTAAGGGACTAGTGACTAGACTGTGATCTTTTAGAATGTTTAGTTTTAACTTAAAATGGAGTAAGTAGATTTTAGTTATAGAAAATATTTAAAACTAAAATAAAAGATCTCCTAACTTAAACTTACATTTGCAATACGTTTTCCACTCTTCTGTTCGTTCTTCATGCGTGCAAAGGTGTGATAATAAGAGGCCACATAAGTTAAAATAGACTTTTCATCTGGACGTGCTGAATCAATATCTTCAGCATCCAATAAACTGTAATTACACAAAAATAGATTAATAAAATCAAAAGTACAAATTTATTTGCAATAAATTTAATTAACTTACCTTGGTATACCCAATTCAGTGGCGGCCAAATCAAAGGCATGATTCAAATTATCAATATTTGTATTTTTCGAATTAACAATTGTGCTGTATTCAAACAAATCGGGACGATGCGAATGTATTAAAGCATTGAAACCCAAACCGGAACGCCACGAGGAGGTGAAATCTTGTATATTAACACCGGGATAACCGTGTGTTTTACGCTGACACCACAATAGTAAAGCATCTTTGGCAGAACGTTTTTCGGACGATTCATTCTCTTCGTCGACATCGATTTCAATTTCTTGAATTTGAAATCGTAAAATGATTGTCCAGATAAGACCTAATATTAAGCGGGGATTACCATCGACAATATCTTCGGCGCCAATGGATTCTAAACGGACCTGTATAAATGGAAGAATAAAATAAAATTAATATTTTTTTGCTATAAAATTCTTGTTTTAAATCTCTGTTAAATTTGTGTTAAAATTTCCTGATATCTAGATTTAAAATACTAAAATCTTTAGTTGTCATTTAAGTTTTTTCTTAAATGATACATTATTTCAGTCATACACTTAGATCTGCCATAAAAAGCAATTAAAAGTCATTGAACTAACTTCTAGCCTTTAAATAAGTAATTAGCGCCTCATTATATGTACGATATACATACGTTTTTACACACTTGTGGGTAAAAAATTAGGATCAGTTAAAGCTGAAAGAGTTCTAAGCTAGTGTTATCTTAAGCGGTATCGAATCTTCTATTCCGAATTGGTTTGATAATCTGAACATTGTTATTACCATACGATGTTTTCCCCCGGAAACTAAGAACCAATTTGGTTAAATTTTGATCCTGTCGTTTAGGCTCTTTCGCTTTTTTACGGACAGAACTTTTGTTCCAGTTGAACGAATTCGGTTTCAATACCAAATATTTCTGATCATCAGATAATATTTTGGAAAATTTCACTATTCTAGGTTCTCTTTTCTAAACTCTTTCGTTCCTGCAACTTACAGACAACATTTCATCCTTCTAGGTCCCTTTTTCAGGGCTAAATCGTGCCTACAACTGACGAACAGACAGACAGACGTACATTCATCAAAACATCCTTCTTCTCTACTTTATACTCCGACTTAAGGAATCTTCTATGCTCTGAAAAGAATAATCGTTCAAAGATTATTAACGATTTTGGTTTCCGAGATTCGACTCCGGAAGTAAACCCCTGATAGTCCTCTCGATCAAGAAGAGGTTCAAAAGTTTACATAAAAGTTTTTCCTAGACAGATCAAAGAAAAGAAGCTCGGGAAAATAGGCATGAAATCGGAAGGAAATTCTTCTCTCTATACAAATAGATCGAAGAAGAAAGAAACCCAGAGTTTTTGAATCTATTTAGTGAAGACTGATAGTAAGATATCTAAATACTCGGAAATGATTCAAATTAATGATCGACTTTAAAGTTTGTCATTCATTTATAATAAAGCTTTTCATTGGAAAGTCAAAAAAAAAAAAAAAGTATACAAACCGGATACGTGTACATATCTAAAGTCAATCTAGACCATGGGTTAAAATAAACTTTTCAAAGTCCCCCGATATAACAGATTTTAGCTTAGTATATTCGAGAATTTTGGAATTTATTGAAAAGACATATTCTGGATAAAAGCTCAATTTGATCAAATCTTATCATATGAATTGTAAAAGCTTTTAAAACCTTTATTATATTATATAGAAAGCCTAAACATACATTTAGTCATAAGAGCTTGACAGTGATTTTGTATAACCAAAAAGCTTTCTTTCGAATCAAAACTCTGACTTTTCTTTCAGCTTATTAAAGCTATAACCTTCCATTTTTACATTTTTCAGATCTTTGTCAAGTATATAAAAGCTTTCTAAAACTTAAGACTCTCAGATTTGTATACAGAGTATAACCAAAAAGCTTTTTTTCGAATCAAAACTCTTACTTTTCTTTCAACTTATTAAAGCTATAACGTTCAATTTTTAGATTTTTCAGATCTTTGTCAAATATATAAAAGCTTTCTAAAACTTAAGACTCTCAGATTTTTCAGATCTTTGTCAAATATATAAAAGCTTTCTAAAACTTAAGACTCTCAGATTTGTATACAGAGTATATCTAAAATATAAAGACTGGAAAGGAAATTTCGTGATATTGTTTAAAAAGTCGAAAGTGATTTTGGAACTACAAAAAGCTTAAAGAACTTTTTTGAAATATTCAATATTATTTAATTTTTATTTTTGTGGGCAATCAGTTAGTAATCTTTTTGTGTTTCTTTTGCGATTAAAAAACCTGAAACCTACATACAATCATTTTCATGTGTACATTATTAAAAAGCTGGTATTTTTTGTCCTCTTTTGTTGTTGTTATTGGTTGAAATTCAATTTTCTACATACTACTATGAGTACAAGTACAAATATTTGCAAAATCTTATCTTTATGATGGGGAGATTTCAACTTTAGTAAAAATAACAATTTACTCAATAAGTAAAAATATTTGAATTGTATGCGAAAATATGTAAGCATATGTGGAAATATGACAGTATATATAAATTTACTATATTTACTACAGGTATCTACAATATAAGACATATTGTATGTATATATATTGCTTACATATTTAGAGTTAAAAAAATATGTCTATTAAATAAATATTTATGTTATCTTATGATTAAAGCTGTTTTATAGTGATTGGTATCGTAAAGGAATTTGTAACCATGAAATATTTAATTTTGTTTTTATTTAAAAGTAATGACAAACTGTTAAGGATGAAATTGTCATAGAGTTAAAAAAAATTTCCGGGAATTTTACGAAATTTGAAATGCACTGTGGGTTTTGTGCGGAAATTATAGCAAAATATTTTATTTGTTATATTAAATTCAGTAAAATTATGAAAAAGCTTTCTTTCGCATCGAGTTATTGTGAAACAACTAAAGCTTTTGAAAGCTTTTTTGTGTATTTTTTTAGGTCTAGTCCTTTACCGCTTTCTAAAAGTTAGAAGTTTTATAGTTTATAGCAATAATGGAAACACATAGAGCTTTAAAAGCTCTTATTCCCTATAGTTTTCAAAAGCTTAAATTTTTTAGATTTTTGTAAAGTTACAAACAATGTTGAAATAATTTATCGTCATATTGTCAGAGGTCAAACTTCTAAAAGCTTTCAATTTAAACGAAAGCTTCTTCTTTTTACAGCGTTTTAAAGTTCTAACCCCCCACAGATTTCAAAATTTTAAGTTTTTCAGATCTTTTTAGGTTAAATTTAAGACCTTATAGGATTGTAAGTGAACCTTAACCTCTTTTAGAGTTAAGCTTTGCTTCATATGGGTGGGGATCTAGAGGAAGTTATCCTGATGAATGCAGAACCGTTCGACGCAATAAGGGCTGAATTGAATACATGGCTATAAGAATCCTATACAGCCACATAGAGAAATGGTGGGTAGAACCACAATAATCGAAACACCTAAAGCTCTTATCTTGAGCAGTTGTCTAAAGCTTAAATTCTACAAACGAAATGTTGTCTTTTTTAGAGCGTTTTAAAGATCTAACACCTCAGAGCTTTCTAAAATTTAAGTCTCTGAGATCTTTGTATAAATGTCTAACGAATTGAAAGCTTCATTGTGTGCAAGATAAAAGGTGTCTTTGCTATTCCAAACAAAAAACTTTCTTTCGAATCGAAATTTTCACTTTTCCTACAGCTTATTAAAACTTGTAAAGCTTTTATCTTGAACAGTTTTCTAAAGCTTAAATTCTACAAACGAAATATCGTCATATAGTTAATAAGTGGTTGAACTCTAAAAAGCTTATTTGGAACAGTTTTCTAAAGCATAAATTCTAAAAAGGAAATAACATTTTTTTCAGAGCGTAAATTCTACAAACGAAATATCGTCATATAGTTAATAAAAGCTCAAACTCCATAAAGCTTTATTTTGAACGAAAACATTCACCTTTTTTTGGGGCGTTTTAAAGATCTAACACCTCAGAGCTTTCTAAATTTTAAGTCTCTCAGATCTTTGTATAAATGTCTAACGAATTGAAATTCCTAGAGCTTTTTGAAAGATCAAAAGTGTCTGCTATTCCAAACAAAAAACTTTCTTTCGAATCGAAATTTTCACTTTTTCTACAGCTTATTAAAACTTGTAAAGCTTTTATCTGTTTTCCAAAGCTTATATAGTTTTCCAAAGCTTAAATTTTACAAACGAAATATCGTCATATAGTTAATAAGAGGTCAAACTCCATAAAGCTTTATTTTGAACGAAAACATTCACCTTTTTTTGGGGCGTTTTAAAGATCTAACACCTCAGAGCTTTCTAAATTTTAGGTCTCTCAAATCTTTCTGTAATATGTCAAACTAATTGAAACTCTTAGAGCTTCTTCGTTCAAAAGATCAAAGGTGTCTTTGTAAATCCAAAAAAAAAATTTCCTTTCGAATCCAAATTTTCAATTATTTTACAATTTATTAAAGCTAAAGCTTAAATTTTTCAGAGCTTAGTATAACATATCAAAAGAATGAAAATCCTTACAGATTTTTAAAGCTCTGGCTATTTACAGATTTCTAAATCTTAAAAAAGGTTAAAGGTGACTTTCTAACATTAAAAAAGCTTTATTTCGAATTGAAACTTTAGAGCTTTTTTAAGCTTCCGCCCAATTAAGTACTAATAAATCATGTTAAAGCTTTATTGCCAGGAACTTTATAAAGCTACTCTTAAATGGGTTAAAGTTCAACACTTTGGAAATCTTTCAGCTTATTTCTTATGCAAATTTTTAAAATATTAGACGCCTCTTAATAGAATTTTAAATAGATTTTTATTTTACAACAATTTAAATCTCTTTATCTAGCGTAATATACAGTGCATGTCTTAAAATCATTATATTTTAGACGAATGTACATATTTCAGAAACAAGTGATCATTAAATATGATCCATCATTTTATGCTATGACGTCGAGACATAGTAGCTGCAGCAAACAACCAGCCAGTTTTAAATTGTGCTTGCACTTATAGAAATTACTAACGTCAGACGGACAGACAAATATACAGCGACTTTGCCGAGAGTTTTCAAATAAACTTTCACTTTTCTTGCCATTACAATGTAGGAAAAAAAGTGCAATTTATTACTTGTATTATTACTACTACATATTATTATTATTTCGTTTTTTTTTTTTTTTTTTTTCTCAAAATAATATAAACAAAAAAAAAAAAAAAACGGTGTTGAAGAGGTGGAGTTTAATAGAAGAAGAAAAAAATATTTATTATAAACATTCTTTTATTATTTTTTTGTTTTACTGCTTTTTGCCACAGTTTTGAGTTTAATTAATTACGTGAATTTAATGTGAAGCGATTGTATGATATGATGAGTATTTGTTTTTGTTAAAAATTAAAAAAAAAAAATACAAAAACACAATA